TTTTCTTTCTTTTTTTTTTTTTTTTTTTTTTTTTTTTTTTTTTTTTTTTGGCCTTGACTTTTAACCAGCCCTTGGGCAATTGCCTCCACCATTGCCTGTAGTTGTTTTCAACAATAACCTCTGGAGAAAGGCTCAAAATCAAGTCAAATAAAAACAGCTTCCCAAGAGGATCTTCCAGGGAGCTACCAGAGAGGGGAGATCAAGAGAACTTTCTGGAAATGAGGTTCTGAGAGGGCTCTAGTCCCATGTCTCATGCTATCCATGAGGCTTTGAAAGGCTTTGAGACTACAGTGTCACTATTAATGGAGAGAAGTTTAGATCTGAAGTAGTTTACCACCTTCCCTGTTTTCTTGACAAAATAACTTCCCATTTACTGTTTCAATCCTTAGGTTAATTCCCAGAGTATCAAAAGCCCTATCCAGACATTTCTCCCCCCCCCCCCTTTTTTAAATTTTAAAACAGATTCTTGGTGTAGTCCTGGACAGCCTGGAGCTTGCTATGTATCTCAACTCACAGAGATCCACCTGCTTTGGCCTCCTACGTGATGGGTCCAAAGGAAACACAATTCCCCAAACTCTAAAAGGCAGTTCAAATTCCCAGAAATGAGTTCAACCTAGGCTATAGGAGGATTTCTGGCATCTAGATAAAAGACAGCATTACTCGGGGGTGTGTAAAGCTAGTTCTCCTCTATGTGTCCCTTCTGCCAGAGGTAAGACTGAAGGGACACGTGGCTACCTGTGGTGCCTATCAGCACATCAAAGCCCATGCTAGCGTCTCGGCTCACTCAGTATCAGAATTACCTGCTATACTTTTCAAAGTCCATGTCCTCACCTCCTCGCCTGTCCTCACCTCCTCCCCTACCTTGAACTCCATCCAGCTCTTGGGGTCCTCTTTCTCCTTATAACCCTGCAAGTGTCGCTATGCTCCTCTTTCTCTCTCCTGCCTCGTTCACTGTGCTCTCTCTGTTCTCTAGCCCCTGTTATTCTCCCTTCTCTCGCAGAGAGCCCTGGTCAGGTCCAGTCTGCTGTCCATGTTCAGTCTTCTTCTTTCTCCCTCTGCTCTGGACTCTTCCAGATGCCTCTGGCTGTTCTCCCCCTCATACCTTCCCTTAACCATGCCACGAAGAGTCACACCATCAGTCTATACACCAAGTGCTGGCCCTGTCCAGACATCCTTCTCAGTTTTCTTGTTGCTTTGAGAGAGAGTTCTCAGGCATTCTCTCTCTCTCCTTTTTTCTCTCTCTGAGACCCTGGCATCTCACGTCACATGTGTAGAGACACTGTGGCGAACGTTACTCGAGATGGCCAGAGCCACATTTAAGTTATTTCGTTTTCTACCAATGTGTGTGTGTGTGTGGGGGGGGGGGGGGTCTCATGAGAAGCATTTAGTGAAATGGTTCTCTTCTTTCGCCTTTACATGGGTTTAGGGGTTGAACTCGGGTCACCAGCTTTAGCAGCCATTCCACTGCCCCAGGTTCACACGTAAAGAAGGCCAGCTGTTGCCCAGCGGGGAGGGAAGTCTGCATTAGAGTCACACAGCATCAGCAGGTCCTCTCCAGATCTGCCATGTGCCAGGTCTGGCCTGGCGTCCTACAGGAGGGGAAGAGTTGCTGTGTGATTCGGAAGGGCATGCACTCCTTCGGGGACTGCATAGCTGAGGTGCTCACACACACACACACACACACACACACACACACACACACACACACACAGAAGCAGCTGGATGTGGTCCTGCTTGCACTAGTTCAGAGACGAAGACGAGCAGATAGGGATGGGTGTTGTGGCTTTGCGATCTTGCTTTTTTCTTAGGTGTTTTCCAAGAGAGAGAGAGAGAGAGAGAGCAAAGGCCACAAGGCTGAACTCAGGACTTGGTTACTGGATTAGTTCAGACCCTGGGTCAGAGGTGCTATTTGAAATCTGACCTAGAATAGTGGTGTGGGAGCCAGGGAAGGAGAGAGGGAGGCACGGAGAGAGGGAGGCAGTTTGGCAGCCTTGCCCTGTGGGACAAGTTCCTGCGCTGGTTGGGCCAGCAGCTAACTTTGCTGCCCAGCTGCCTGCATAGCTCTAGGAGTTGTGCCCAGAAGCCTAGTCCAGAGTCTGCTCAGCCTGCCACTGCCTCTGTGAGCCCTTAACACCCTGCAGCAGAACTCAGGCTGCTCACAAGGCTGGGATGGATGTCCCCCTCTGCAGAAGATGAAAAGTAAAGCCATAAAGTGAGCTAAAAGGCTAGTGTGCCTGAACACAGTATCCTCTGGGCTGGGATGGCTGCAAGGCTTTCCCTGAAACCTGGAGGGTGTGAAGCCAGATGGAGGAGTTTTCTTTAGGTAGAGGGGTTGCAAGCAAAGACCCAGTTCTGGGAATGCTCAGTGTCTAGCAGAAAGGGGAAGGGGAGCTCGCGAGAGAGCCAGTCCGGTGGCCCCATTCTGGGGACACTGCCTAAGGGTGGAGGCAGCCTCTAGAAAGATTATGTATATAGAGCACAGATCATGGCCCTGGCTGGAGCCAGTGAGCAGACTGTGAGTCTGTGGGGGCTGGCATGTGTGGTGTCTGAGGGTGACTTTTTAATTCACAGCAGAGGTACCTGGCAGCCAGACAGGCTTGAAGCCTGTGTGCACTGCAGGAGACAGCTACCCTGTGGGTGGGGATTCCAAGCTTGAGTCAGCAGATGTGGCTTGGGAGCATGTCTCTGCCTAGGTCAGGCCTAGGGGCCTGTGCCACACCTAGGGAGGGGTGTTGGTAGGCCCTGAAAGAGCCGTTGTTATGCCATAGCAGAATCCTTCCCATGTTCCATCATGTCCATAAAACTTCTAAGGCTTTTTTCCTCCCCAAGGGGATACTACTACCACTGAAGGGAGTTCTTGCTTGGCTGTCCTCCTGCCCGGCCTTCCTAGGACAGCCCTGGCTAGGCAGGTGCAACTCTGCTTGGAGGCAACTGGCTTTGGCCCATTCCCATTGCCCAAACCAGTGAATCCCCAAGTCACACAGACTTCATGACTGGAGGGAAAGGAGCCCCCTGCTGCTCTGGGCTGGGGCCCTTAGCTACTGTCTTTTCAGGTGAAATGGAGTGAGCCTTAGGGCCTCCAGCTGGGCATGGGGCATGGGACAAGGGGCAGGGGCTGGACTGAAGTAACCCACAGTGACTCCTGGCTGGGCAGGAGTCATTTCCTATCCTCTTCCTAGGAGCCTAAGCTCCTGTTAGTGGAGACTGGCCTGGCTAGCTCTAGGTACAGACTGTAGTTGCTCCCAAGGACTCCACACACACACTCAAGAGGAATGGGTATGGTTATCTTTATGAACATACTCCATCCACCTGCTTAAAAAGCACAAGCGTCCTGGCCCCTGCAACCTCCCTCCAGCAACACTGTGAGTGTCCTGGCCCCGGAAGCCCCCTCCTCCAGCAACACTGTGAGTGTCCTGGCCCCTGCAGCCCCCTCCTCCAGCAACACTGTGAGTGTCCTGGCCCCTGCAGCCCCCTCCTCCAGCAACACTGTGAGTGTCCTGGCCCCGGAAGCCCCCTCCTCCAGCAACACTGTGAGCGTCCTGGACCCTGCAGTTCCTGGAACTTGTGTTAGAAGTGAGAAACCTGGATCCTGTGACAAGCATGGTCCATAGATAGTTCCAGAACACAAGGGAAGTTAGGGGGACGGAGACCTCTGAATCAAAGGTGAAAAAGATCCTTCAGGGTCCATAAAGTCAAGTTCATCTCATAAGAGCATCTGTCTGTCTCTGTCTGTTTTCTGTCAAGGGACAGTGGGATTTTCCACATTGCCTTAGGGAACCTTTACCTGAGAAGGGGAAGAGAGTCCTGGTCCTGCTGTCCACTCAGGCTGGATGTCTTCACGGCGTCGCTGACTGCACCTTCAGTGAGTGAGCTGTAGTAGAGACAGCGATCAACCATCTCCTCTCGGGAATTTGTGCTGCTGCTGAGTCACACATTTCTAATCAATTTGTAAAATATATCTGCTCAGCTTAAGACATTGTGCAGTTTCTGTTAGCATAGAACGGCTTTGCTATTTTCAGTGAGTTAGGTTTTCCTTGCACTTGCCATGACTTGATAAGCGCACAGACAGAAGCCTTAGGTGACTTGGTGGACGTTCAAGCCTGGAAGCCAGTGCCAACACACCGAGGAGGCTTGAGAAGCGCTGGAGCGGTTTGTCTTTGGCCTCTAGGCCTGCAGTCTAAATGCTGTATTCACAGTTACGGCTCTGTGGCTGTGTTATTTATTTGCAATGAGGGTGAAGTCATTTGCTTTGTTTGCATTCTAGCCTCATTGATTCTATTTATTCTCTCTTACTGTCTGTCTGACGGTCAAACATTAACTTGTTCCAAAACCCAGAATGTGTTTGGATCAGCTCTCTGGATATTCTGGTGTGTCTGGGGGACCCGGCAGAGGCTGAGTAAGATGTCTCCGTTCCTCTCTCTCCTTAGTTCCTGGCTCCATGGTAGTTTTGAAAGTATTTTCCTGACACTGAGCTGCAGTAAACCCCAGAATATACTAACCTGGCCAAAGGAGGGACAGTGGCCTGGAGGCCAGGGGAAAGCACACCAACAAGGGGGCCTTGACAGCCTGAGCTGTTCCGATTTGGTTGGCGTGGGAGCCTTTATGTTGTATAGCTCAGACTCTGATGAGAAAGAGGTGACTGGCTGGCTGAAACCCAGAGTCCTAAAGCCTGAGCTGGTAGACCCGGGGCTCCTTAGCAACCCCCCCAACACACACACACTCTCCAAGTGGAAAGTGTGGGCCATATTCTGGTAGCATCTGTGGCAAAGTTCTGACAGGCCCCAGTGTGGTCTCTGGCCCCAGATTCCTATCCTTGAATACAGAGCTCCATGCAACTACAACCCAGAGGAGGAGGGAGGAGAGAGGAGGGCGGAGAAAGAGCTGAAGACAAAGAAAGGGGTGCGGCAGGGCAGCAGCTAGCCGGAGGGGGCGGAGAGTGAGCTCAGCCTGGAGCAGGTCAAGGCTGTCAGAACTTGTGGGAGGGTTGAGGAGAAAAGCCCTGCAGCACTCAGGCAGAAACATCTCTTGTCTCGAGTCCCCCCGCTGTCACTTTCTGGGGGCCCGGCACTGAGGCAGAAGACAGGAAGAGCTGGGACCTCTTTATTGGCCAGAGGCACTCCTAACCTTGGGCATAAATAGGATCTCAGGGGCTCTGTCCTACAGCTGACAGTCCAGCAGGCTGCCCCACTGCTCCTGCCAGGTGAGTGCTGTGTACACATCCAAAGAGGCCTGGGGCTCCAGGAGCAGGAATCTGTGACACTCCAGACTCCCCTGGGAGATGGGCATGACCTGGGCTTTTCTGGTCTAGTCTCGTGCATAGCTAGTACATGAAGTGTATGTGCTAGGCACACTTCACGGTGGTGGAGACACAGTGTGCAGCAGTCAGGAGTGTGCGGCTCCTGTGTGCTGCACTCGGCAGCGATAGCTGTAAGCCTGTTTAAGTTCTTTCTGTGCCTTGGGCTACGGCCCTGGAGGCTGTGAGTCTGCACGTTACCCTCAGGATTTTGTAGACCGGCAGTGAAACTAACCACGTACCCCATAACCTGGCACCCTTCTCTTTACTGGATAGAATCGGGGAAACTCTTGCAGGAACATTTTGGGGATCTAGGCATGTGTTTATGGTGTCTCACCAATCTGGAAGTTCCTTCTGTTCTCTTCTGGGGCTGGTTGGGCAGGGGCCTTCTTGGGACTAAAGGTGCCAACACTTCTCTCTCCCCCTGCTGTAGGTGATGGAAAACGGGAGTGTTTCCCTGGGCAGAGCTCTTTGGGCCTTCCTCCTGGCCATGCTAGGCTCCGCCACAGGCCAGCCGCTGGGGGGAGAATCGGTCTGCACAGCCCGGCCCCTGGCTAGATACAGCATCACTTTCACCGGCAAGTGGAGCCAGACAGCCTTCCCCAAACAGTATCCTCTGTTCCGGCCCCCTGCACAGTGGTCCTCCCTGCTGGGTAAGGGCACCTTTCCTCCTTCTGCCCCATCCAGGAGGCTACAGTGCCTGCTGGCTGCCCACTTCACAGCACACAGCACAGGTCATTCTCAACTAAGAAACTTCCAACACAAAAGACACTTGCTAATTACCCACCATACTAGTGGCTGGCAGAGGGCACAGTGGTCACAGGAAGGCTGATGGGACACCGGTCACCCAGCCAGGTGTGTCCTAACTACTTAAGTATAAAGGACAATATTCTCTCTCTGTGTTAGGGGTGGATGTGGCTCCTTGTCATTCATCTGGGGAGCTGACATGGGGGAGACATGGTGTCCACTGTGGTCAGCCCCGTGGCATTGAAGTCTGTAGCTCCCCCAGGGATGCTACTCATCCCAGCTGGCTACTCATGCAGTCAGGTCTTTGCACAGGGGCAGCTCACAGCTCTGACTACAGCATGTGGAGGAAGAACGAATATGTCAGCAACGGGCTGAGGGAATTTGCAGAGCGTGGTGAGGCCTGGGCACTGATGAAAGAGATTGAAGCTGCCGGAGAGAAGCTCCAGAGTGTGCATGCCGTGTTCTCTGCTCCCGCGGTCCCCAGCGGAACTGGGCAGACCTCTGCAGAGCTAGAGGTGCACCCCAGGCACTCGCTGGTAAGTCTCTGCTGGTCCAGGAGAGGGTGTGCCCTGGGGCTGCAGCTGCTGAGCCTTCCGCTCCCATCCAGGTGTCCTTCGTGGTACGCATTGTCCCCAGCCCTGACTGGTTTGTGGGCGTCGACAGTCTGGACCTGTGTGAGGGGGGCCGCTGGAAGGAGCAGGTGGTCCTCGATCTTTATCCTCACGATGCAGGAACGGACAGCGGTTTCACCTTCTCCTCCCCCAACTTTGCCACCATCCCACAGGACACAGTGACAGAGGTAAGTAGTCCACAGTCCTTGCCCCATGGCACAGGCTGTATAGCCATTCCCCACGCCATAGTGGGACAAAGAAGGTGGTCGGTGTGGTTGAGAAAATTTGTGAGGGCAGGCTGTTTCAGGGGGACCTCTGGGCATCCCAGACTTTGGCTTCTCCTTGGAGAATAATCCTGTTTCTGGCGTCTGCTGGTTGAGAGTGGGGTGCTGGTCTGCCTGGGATCTGGCAGTATTATAGAGAAAAGAACCAGATGCCGGGGCCTGCACGGCCCTTCCTTTCCAGTGAGGAGGCGTATGTCGTCCTGCCTGGTGCATCAGCAGGCACTCTCTATAGACAGGTGTCTCAGTGGAGCCACAGTGTTGTCTCCGGGAGACAGAAGGAATGGCAAGAGGCCACGTGGGCACCTCCAGCTCTGCTGGGCTTAAGAGCCATTCAGATGACACCCAAGTTGGGAGTGTTTTCTGGCACTGTCCTGCTTGATGCTGGGTACTGACTCAAACAGACACTCGAAAGTGGGCCTCCCAGACCCTTGTGGCAGCTTCTCCTCCTCTGTCACCCAGATAACATCCTCATCACCCAGTCACCCAGCAAACTCATTCTACTACCCACGCCTGAAGTCCTTGCCTCCCATTGCCAAAGTGACCTTCGTGCGGCTACGACAGAGTCCCAGGGCCTTTGCCCCACCTTCCCTGGACCTGGCCAGCAGGGGCAATGAAATTGTCGACAGCCTCTCAGGTAATTTCCATGTTTCCCGTTTTCTGTTAACCCCAGGTAGACAGGCTGGGAAAGCGTGCTGGAGCTCATTACTCCATGTCACCACTGGCTCAATTGGGGCGAGAAGCCACAACTTGTGCCCCTGAGCCTGTAGGGTATACTTTGTCCAAGGTCATACACTAGGTCCTAAAGCCCAAAATAAGGTACAACAGGTGAGTTCCTTCTGCCCTAGGCTAGCCCTCGTCTTTAGCATAGATTCTGAGTTCACAGACTCTCCCAGGACTCCAAGGTCACAGGAAACTTGAGCCTGAGCAATTTCAAAGGGGAAGTCTTGTCACTCTTTAGGAAATGGTATTAATTTTTAAAGGTTTAGGATTTGGTGGATTCAAATACCGTAGGTAAAACTTTGATGATATCTACTGTTTGAAAGACCCTGAACAACGGAGAAAGACCCCAGATATAGTTAGGAAGCAGCATGCACCAGAAATGCAGCCGTGGCCTGCACGCCACAGCCTATAATGGCGGTCCCACCTCGGCCTCCTCCGTTAGCCAAAAGAGAGGAAGGCATTGGCGGAAGCCTGGCATTCATGACATTCCCTTGGGGACTTGGGTCCTGCCTGGCTGTGGCCAGTGCAGAGTTCCCAATTCTCTAGGGCCAGTCCAGGGTTCTCCTCTTTCCACAAATGATTTGAGAGTCCGGAGAGTCCTCTAATAGGCACCTTGGGCTTTCATCCCTCAAGGGCCTCAGCTGGAGCCGAGGGAGCTGGGCACTGAGAGTGAGAATCACAGTTTGCTCACTGCACCGCAGCCTCCAGCAGCCCTTGTGTGAGGCCGCAGAGAGTGACCTGGCCGTTTGAGGCTGTATTTCCCCAGTCCCTCACACTGGAAGAGCAGAGAGCCTCTCATGTGTTGGCAGGCCCCAGGATGGGCAAGCACCCCTCCAGATGGCCATAACTTATTTTCTTAAGGAGCAGGAATCAGCCAAGACCTGCCAAACTTCAAAGCCATTTCTCCTGTTGGCAGGAGCTGGAGGAGGCTCAGCTGCCAACTCATTTTCTCTGGCCACTTGGGATGGTCTCTGCCCTGATGCATTGGCCAGGCCAGCCTCAGGCAGAAGGATGAGCTTGTTGATGGGCTATGTAGCGCAGGAATTTGAAGTGTGTATCTCCCACCACCATTCCTAAAGGACAGCCCTGTAAATGCTGGACAATGGCGTCACCTGGGCAGACACAGTGCGGTATCACGGGAAGAGTCATTTGCAGGCAGGCCACTGGAGGGGTCCTTTTGACTCATCATTGGGGCACTTAGCCACCTGATCGGGTCTGAGAAGGTAGCATGCTGGGAGTGCAGGGGCCACGGCAAAGGAAGGGCAGGCAAGGACAGTAGGTGGGGACGGCGTGGAGAGGAGAGGGTGGGAATGGATGCTGCCCTCCACTCTGGCTGAGGACCACATCTCTGGTGACAGGGAACTTCAGCAAGCCTACCCATAGTTACCACTGGGTGGCATAGGAGCCAGCTGAGCACTTCCATACCCAGTACATCTGAGGAACACAATGTGGCAAATTGTCCCAAGGTGTTCCCCGTCATGAAAAGCCATTGCTGTAGCTAGGGCTTCTCACATCTGCCCACCTCTTCTACCTAATTCTCTCATGCCTTCGTGACTGCCAGCCTGTCAGTGG